GAAGCTTGTAATGTCCATGAACTGCTGAACAAACAGAATAGAAAATAACAGGACTAAATGGTGTTTACTAGAAGAGCACTGAAGGTCCTCAAACACGCAGCGGCGTTGTGCCATGATAATAACAACCAAAGTAGCAGCTGAGGACAGAGGAGACTGTAAAGGCAAGCGAAGTTCATGTTGTGCTTTGTAAAGCCTTTTCGTCTCATGGGTGGACGGACATGGATCAAACACTCAATAGAAACCATCTGTTTAGCTTTTGGGATCAACAGGTCTTTTGTGAACTTTCACCTCTGAATATAACCATGGCATCTCAGCTGTAACCAGGGTCCAAAATAAATATATAGAGTCTTTTTTAAAGACTGTCAAATTTTAAGTACCTTTGAAACAATATAAAACATTTTTACCAAATGTATATATATTTTTGTCCTAATAATAATGGGAATAATTACTGATTTTTTCATACAAGATGAGGCAACTGTCGCAAAAATGTGAAGACATTTCCTATTCCTAATATATGTGACCAGGAGCACAAAACCAGTCATAAGGGTCAATTTTTCGAAGTTGAGATTTATACATCATCTGAAAACTGAATAAATAATCTTTCCATTGATGTGTGGTTTGTTAGGATAGAACAATATCTGGCTGAGATACAACTATTTGAAAATCTGGAATCTGAGGGTGCAAAAAAATCAAAATATTGAGAAAATCATCTTTAAAGTTGTCCAAATGAAGTTCTTAGCAATGCATATTACTAATCAAAAATGAAGTTTTGATATATTTACAGTAGGAAATTTACTAAATATCTTCATGGAACATGATCTTTACTTAATATCCTAATGATTTTTGGCATAAAAGAAAAATCAATAATTTTGACCCATACAATGTATTGTTGGCTATTGTTACAAATATACCCCAGCGACTTAAGACTGGTTTTGTGCTGCAGGGTCACATATTAATTTTGGTAGTTAATGTGAGGAGTCACCACATGGAGGTTTTGGAGAAAAAAAGGCATCCTAGATATATTTGTTGTGGTAAACTGATGCAAAATTTGAATTGCACTCACCACATTTCCAGACCTCTAGATCACTTGCTTTGTTCTGAATCAGGGACATATATTGGCATTAATGTGGCACTCTTTCAATGCTTTAGTTCGCTTTCACAAAGCAACAATTCGAAGCGTACCAAACTCTGTTTATGCAAGTAAAACTGGTCGGCGTGCAGCTGTTTATGTCTAGGGATCCTGCTCATAGCTGATAAAAGACATTTTACATGTATATATGTCTCAAGACCGCATTCTTGTGGTGCACCTGTTTCAGTGGCCCAGGTGTCCTTGTTACAGTGTAATTATACATTTAAGTACTGGGTAACATTAATTAACTACATGTACTTACTATATGGTTAGGGTTAGGATTAGGGGTTGGTTTAGGGTTACTTGCATGTAATTATGCATAATTTATTGTTATTATAATATTAAGTACATGTACCTTAAAATAAAGTACATTACTTTTAAATTTACAACAAAATATCTGCTCCTTTTTCAAATAAGTAATGGCAGTTACATTGTTTTCCCATTTATTCACTGACAGCTCTTCTGTGCCCTTGTTGAGAGAAATTGGGATGGGTGCAGAGGCACTTCCTTCAGCACGAGGCTTATTCATTTCACTTTTGATGTGAAAGAGCCTTTACAGTCGCCAAAAACAAATAAGCAAGCACAGCCCTGCTGACAAAAAGTAACGCAAACGTAACATCATCCATTACTTTCCATGAAAGGTAACTAATGCAATTAGTTACTTTCTTTCTAGAGTAATGCAATATTGTAATGCATTACTTTTAAAAGTAACTTTCTCCAACACTGCCTTTATAAAGTTCAGAAATACTCAAAATGAGCCAGGTGTGAAAACGGCCTTCAAATATTTGATAAACCATCCATTATGCTGCAATCACTGAAAAAAAGGTACCAGTCCACTGGACAGTAACTTATTTCTTTTTCTTGTCAAAAGCCAGTTGCTACCTGCTGCTTTTGGCCCTTGGCGAGTGTTTGTTTTGGACCCTGTGTGTGTGGGTTTGTAACCTTTTGCAGGTGTAAAGATTGTTGTTTGAAGATTCAAATTAGATGTAAGAGTTTACAGGATGCTATACGTCTTAAAAACAAAGTAAAAAAAAAAAAAAAAAAGGTTCTGTTTTAATGTGTGAATACAGAAAGGGTTTCTGTTTGGAACCATAACTTTTTAACTGTTACATCACAACAGAAATAACCCTAAAACCAATAAAGTAAACTGGCATGAGTAATACTTTTTGTATCTGGTTAGGAAAAAAAAACTGTGTATATATAAAATTCTTCCAATAAATGTATTTTGATAAATCCTAACTTTATCTCTTTATTCTTCGTTACATTTTCTGTGTGTATTTCATGGTGCATGAAAATAAATCATTGTAAATGCCAGCAGAACTGATGCTTAGGATACTACAGTAACTTGAATGCAGCTCTTCTATATTTAGAATTAAAATTCATTTTGTGGGGCGCAAGTTATTTTGGCATTGTAATCAAAGGCAACATTTAATTTTCTGAAAATGACCAATAACTCTGAATCTGAATTTTATTTTGCCCACCAACATGCAAGTAGCTATTTTGCTGTCATTTGAGCAAAACTGGATTGTTACACCGCTTGACAATCTTTGAGTCTTTTATTGAAAATGACAAAAAAATAAAAGATGCTTGAATATAGAGATTATATTTATATTTCTATGCTCGAAATCTCTTGAAAATCCTTATTTGTGACCCTGGAGCACAAAAGCAGTCTTAAGTCGCTGGGGTATATTTGTAGCAATAGCCAACAATACATTGTATGGGTCAAAATTATCCATTTTTCTTTTATGCCAAAAATCATTAGGATATTAAGTAAAGATCATGTTCCATGAAGATATTTTGTATATATGTATATATATAGGAAATGTACATGTAGTTTATATATCAAAACTTAATTTTTGATTAGTAATATGCATTGCTAAGAACTTCATTTGGACAACTTTAAAGGTGATTTTCTCAATATTTAGACTTTTTTGCACCCTCAGATTCCAGATTTTCAAATAGGATAGGACAATATTTGGCCGAGATACAACTAACAAACCATACATCAATGGAAAGCTTATTTATGCAGCTTTCAGATTATGTATACATCTCAATTTCCAAAAATTGACCCTTATGACTGGTTTTGTGGTCCAGGGTCACATTTGTCACTGACTTTATGATCTAAGGCTAATGTTGTGATGGATAGTTGAAAATTCTGTCGTACATATTGAAATCTTTGCTTCAAATTACGGAAAATCAGAATTGGGAAACTGCTATGTATTAAATTAATCTGAAGCTGTGATCGTTGATGGCTGTAACCTCTCTCTTGTCCCTGTAGTGAGAGACGATAGCATGTCCTTGGACTCGGACCTGGATTCTCCAGATAACCCTGTCCTGGTCTCAGTCTGTGTTGTCCCAGACCAGCGCCCGCTCTCCGAACCCTCTCTCCAAGACCAAGCCAAGCCAATTCCCGTGATCACAACCACCAGCGAGACGCCGAAACCAATAGACTTCGTGGCTCTCAGCGAAGCGATTTCTCAGTTCAAGACATCCAGGATGCTTTCCAAGTCGGACGCCGGCGAAACTCTCCAGACGTCTTTTGGAGTCGATCCTCACCAGAGCTTCCTCTGCCACAGCGGTCTGTCCGATTCCTATCCTCAGTGCTCCTGGGAAAACCACAGCGTGTCCAATACTCGGCCTGAGACGCCAGTCCAAGCTGAAGCAGCTGGGGCTCCGCTGAGCTCTTCTTCTCCTGTTGAAGCCAGTCGTGAACTGGTCCAGCATGGAGAAACGGCAGCTGAGAGCAGTATACTGAATATGTCCAAAGCTTGGGAGCAATCCAGCACAAGCTCCACGGTCACGGCTAATGCTGGACAAACGTCCACTGAAAGCGGCGTTTCAAAGACGCCTGTAGTGAGCAGTGCTAGTTCCTCTGAAGCAGCGGTCACACACGGGAGCAGACCTGGCAGCTCTGGACAGGGCTTTTATCCAGCGCTGCAAGGCTTCACGGCGGGCCCTAGCTTCATCTCTCACAATGCTGCTGTTGGGCTCAGGCATCCTCTTCTGAACTGCACCGTTCCCAACAGCCTCGGGGTCGTGGGAGCTCCGGTCTTCACAGGGTTCCTGCCCAATCCGAGCATGCAGATGTCCTGGAGCGGTGGTTTAGCGCAGGGCTCGGCGCCGGGCCTCTGGGGGGCGCACTACGGCGTAGATATGCAGCAGATCCACGGGTCTCCGTTCCTCCAGACCTGGCAGGGAAACGCTGCCTTCCAGGGCGACACATATCATCCCAACAGAGGAGGATTCGGTGGCTGGTGAGCCAGCGGCGCGTGTAGATAGTTTTCAAACTCGTGTTTACAACTCTGTCTCAGCTTGACTTTTGTACAATAGAAATCAAACATTTCTAGGTTTTCACTGAGAGTGAATTAAAAAAGTGATTCATTTCATATTTTTCAAGAGAGAGCATTATATTTGTATTTTGCTTTTGCATGTTGGTCGGGCTCATAATGTCGGTTCATTTTCCTCTTTTGTGAAGAAGCTCAAGGCCTTGGTTTTAATATAATTTTTTATAAAGCCGTTAATATACATTAAACAACTTTCAAACTAGTCTGTGTAAACAGTGTGTCTGTATTGCTGATTCAGAAGTAATATTGGTCATGTATATGGAGCAGAACCAGCGTGAAAAGTATGGTCAATAGTAGACACAGCTTCAAGTTTAGTTTAAATACGTTTAATTCACATGTAGGGAAAACTGTAAAGTTCACAGTCAAGTCATAAAAGCCAGTCACATTCAAGATCTGCGGTTCAAAATCAACCCCAGAAACGTGCCTGATGCGTTACACGTCTACAATGAGTCCTTAATAGGGTTGCAAAAGGGTGGAATTTCAGAAAAATTCCAGAAATTTTGGAAACTTTCCAGGATTTTTTTTTAATATTCCAAGGATTTTTGGAAAGTTTCCGGAAACTTACCGGAAGTGTACCACCCCTTTACAACCCTAGTCCTTAATAAGAGCGTGTAATGGATTCATATGTCAGACAGCAACATCTCCACTGTTCACATCTCGCAGTATAAAGTGCTGGTCTTGTTTTCGGAAGCAGCTCTGGATCACAGCGGTCTGAAAGGTGAGAAGTGGTTTCTGTGTTGTGTTTGCACTGCAGGGTTCAGACTGGTTTCTAGCTCTCGCTGTCTCTGCAGCAGACCCTGAAATAAAAGAAATCAACATCAGCATTTCATTTATGGACTGCAGTGTTTCCTGCTGGATTTTGTTTGTTGCAGACAGGAAGCTCGTCCTTAATAACCGGTCCAAAGTACACAGAATCAAATATAATACTATTACGCACAGTTTTGTTGCAGTTAAAGATGCATTCACAAGATTCCTTTTTTGTATTGATTTAACTGCAGTCCATTGAATTTATTTAATACACGAGTTTCACAATTTGAGTTGAATTACTGAAATAAATGAACTTTTCCACGACATTCTAATTCAGTCCCTATCTTGTTTTAAAGCGTTACCTGTCTCAGCTCGGACAGACCTTTCAGGATGGCCTGCTGCCGTTCAGTGCTTTTAGGAGGATGCTGGACCCGAGGCGGCGCCTGCCTGCTGCTGCTCACAACTGCAAGAAGCATCGGAAACTTGACTTGTGCATTACATACACGCAGTCTGAGTCTGCTTTGTAGGGCTGGGCGATATGGGCAAAAAAATTATCACAATATATATTTTTTTCATATCAGTCGATAGCGATAATTAATTATCCCGATAAATGTCAAATCTTTATTTCTTTAAAGTTTAAAGCCAGATTTTTGCTCCAAAGTGAAAGTTGTAGAAACCAGACCATTAATTTTCCTTAACAAAATATCTAAATAGAAAAATTAATTTCTTAGTTTCTGCATGTTCTGATTGAGTGATATTGTTTCAAATCAAGAAACGGGTTTGGGTTGCCTGGTAATATTAATATCACTTTTTTTTGTCTCTTAGAAATGCACATTTGATAGTCGCTTGAGTTCGGATGCAGAGGTAAATTTTTGTTCATTATCAAAATCTGTAAAAAAGTTTAGCAACCTCAGTTTATATGGTTAAATTTATTCTGAACTTTTTTTTTTTTTTTTTTAAGCATTGGTCTTCCATAGTAGCATACATTTGAATCATGATAAACACAGTTAAAACCACACATATAGCAATAGCACCTCAATACCATGGTAAAATTATAACTATACTGTTTTTCATATAGGCTACCTAAAAAACCAGTCTAAAAACATTCAGTATAAATGCACACATGCTATAGCTTAAGCACAAATACATACTATAATTATATACCATTACTTCTGTAGTAAAATTCAGTGTGACTATCCCACATTTCTGCCACAATACCATGGTGCAGTGAGTGTTACTACAGTAAATCCATGGTAAATGATGGCGATGTGTAGATTGAGTGCAACGAGACAGTCAGAAGGCTTTTCGGTGTTTCTCCTGTTTGGCTTTAAACTAGTTTAAATCACCGAGTCATTTGTGTTCATCGCCGAGTTCAAGCACTTCACACTGGATCTGATCTCACAGCGCTGTTTAGTGCTCACGTGACCGAGTTTGCTCTAGTGAGGCTGTGTGGCGCGATTCAAATCGAACTCTTCCTATCGTATTATCGAGGACAATTATATCGCGATACTTGTCGTTATCGAATTATCGCCCAGCCCTACTTTTGGCAGAGGGAACGATTGTTACTGAATCACGACTTTATTCATCACACACAGCACAGAATCATGTATGTACATTAAGATTCAAAAATAGATTTGACATTGTGCAAACACACCATGACAGGTAATTTAACAAGCAGAACAGGCCTTTTTATGGTATGACTCCTGTTTTGAGCTTAAAGGGACAGTTCACCCAAAAATGAAAATTCTGTCATTAATTACTCACCCTCATGTCGTTCCAAACCCGTAAGACCTCCGTTCATCTTCGGGACACAAATTAAGATATTTTTGATGAAATCCGAGAGCTTTCTGACTCTCCTTATAGACAGCAAGGATCCTAACACGATCAAGGCTCAGAAACGTTGCAAGGAGATCGTTTAAATAGTCCATGTGACATCAGGGGTTCAACCGTAATTTTACGAAGCTACAAAAATACTTTTTGTGTGCAAAAAAACAAAAATAACGACTTTATTCAACAATTCTGAACATAATGCTGAACGTAAACAACACTGATTACGTTGATTATGTTCTGGGGTACTCTCCAAAATGGCAGAAGATGGTAACTCGGGGAGAAGAATTGTTGAATACATTTTTATTTTTGTTTTCTTTGCGCACAAGAAGTATTCTCGTATCTTCGTAAAATTATGACTGAACCACTGATGTCACATGGACTACTTTACCGATGTCCTTGCTATGTTTCTGTGCGTTGATCGTGGTAATATCCTTGCTGTCTA